TCAAACCCTCAATATAGCATTAAAGGCCTCCCTCAGTTAAGCCCCGATGTTTATCTCTCCTACTATTCTTTCCTTAGCTCAGTCTATTACAGGCCACACTAACCTCCTTATCTTCCTGGACTAGGCCTCATTCCTTCTCATCTTGGAGCCTGACACCTGCTGTTTCTTCTGCTTGGAAGGCTTTTCACCAATTATTTTCTTGGTTCACACCTTCTCATTTTTTAGTATCACTTCAAATGTTACTTCCTCTGAGAGATTTTCTTGACCATATTCAGGCCTGGTAGATTAGGTTCCCTTGTTATGTGTTCTCCCAGGTCTATGTGCTTCCCCATTTTTTGTCATATTTACCTGGAATTAATACCTATTTCCCACCATACTGTAAGTGTTAAGAAGGCAGGCATCTTATGTGTCTTGTTCATCTCAGTATCCTGAGTGCTTCCTACCATGCTTAATACTTAGAAAACACTTAACATGTAATTGTTGAGCAAATAAATCTAGTCCAGCCTCACTGTAGAGATGGAAATATGGAGTCCCTGACTGGCTTATTTAATTTAGCAAGTATCACATGATCTCACTCACATGGAATCTAGTGAACAAAATAAACTGATGAACAAAATAGATGCAGAGACATGGAAGCATGGAACAGACTGACAGATCTCAGAGGGAAGGTAGGGGGGACATGAAGAGATTAACCAAAGAACTTATATGCATATATATGCATAACCCATGGACATAGACAATGGTGTGGTGAAGGCCTGGGGAGGGGGGCAGGTGCAGGGTGGAGGGAGTCAATGGGAGAAATAAAGGGAGACATCTGTAATACTTTCAAAAGTAAAGATAAATTTTAAAAAAGAAATATGGAGTCTCATAGAGATAAAGGGATTTATTCAAGGTCACACAGAGAATCAGTGACAGAGAAAAGACTGTAGCCCAGGTCTCCTGACTTTGATACAGTGCTCTTTTCCATATGTGCAGTTCCACTATAGTACTTATTTCTTGTACATACATATGTATTAGTCTGGCTCCTGGACTAGGCTATAAATTCCTTGAGGGCAGAGATCACATTTTTTTATCCTCACCTGAGGATATGTTTTTACTGATGTTAGAGAGACAGGAAGAGAGAGAGAGAGAGAGAGAGAGAGAGAGAGACACTGATGTGAGAGAGAAACATTGATCAGTTGCTTCCCATACGCACCCTGACTTGGGATCGAACCTGCAACCTAGGTATGTATTCTGACCAGGAATTGAACCTGAAAACTTTTGATGTATGGGATGACACTCCAACAAACTTAGTCACCTGGCCAGGGTAGGGATCACATCTTATACTTGTGCTGTTCGATATGGTAACTATTAGCTACATGTGGCAATTGAACACTGGAAACATGGCTAGTCCAAATATTGATTTACTCTAAGTATAAAATACACACTATACTTCAAAGCATGTAAAATATCTCATTAAAAATGTTTACATTGCTAAGAGGTTAAGATAACATTTTAGATGCATTGTGTTAAATAAAATATATTCTCAAAGTTACTTTCACCTATTTGTTTTTCAAAAATTTAATGTGGCTGTATTACATTTCTATTAGATGTATATTACTGTTCTGTTATATATCTATTTTTCCCATTGGTGCCAAGCATAAAGCTTTGTAGACAGTAGGTACTCAACACACTCTTGTTGAATCTCTTGTTGAATAAAGTTGAGCTGTAGTTGGTAGGTTAATTGCTGCTAACTACCTTGGCGATATCACTGGGTTTGTGGGGAACCTCATGGTGAACCCTTTGTCTCCAGGCCCAGATGTACATGAAGTTCTTCAACCCGGGCCTGGGAGTGCCCTATATATTGCATCAGCCTTTGGGTTTCCTTTCAGAGGAAGCCCCAGTGCAATCATATGAACAGCAATAACCAGAGTTGAGGTGGAGTATGTGGACACCAGCCTCTTGCACAGGAAGTGGTCTCAGCTTTGCAATTGTCCCTGGGGCCTTTTCTTTACCAACTTCTGAAAGAAGGTGGGGATAGGTAAGCAGGAAGATGAACTATGAGTTGCAAGGGGGCCTTCTAATTTCCTTCATAGAGGTGAGGTAAGCTAAGGAATATGGGGACCTGGGGCTAAGCAGTTCTTCATTTGCTTATGCACTGACACACTCATTTATTCAACTCAGAGTCTGGAGCAACTACTTTTTCCTGGCCCTGTGAAAAAAGAAAGGGATCAGACACAGTCCCTACTTTGGGAAGTTTTTGGTCTCCTGTGAGAAACAGACACATAAGTTTGCAGAGTTGAAATATTTTTAGTACTCAATGTGGGCAAAACAGGGAGTAACTAATTTTGCTGAGAGAGGGATGGTCAGAGAAGGCTTTCCAGAGACAGTGAGCATTGTTATTTTCTCTCTCCATTTTTTAAGATCTAGCTAAAATCCACTTCTCTAAGAACTTTTCTAAATACCATCACCTTTCTGCCCTCTACCCTGGAAGAGTCACACCTTCCTTACCCACATTTTTTATAGCACTTATACCTGTGTCAAATAACTTGCCTCATACTGTAGAAAGTCATAGTTCCTTGGGTGCATACTTGTGTCTCTCTCCCCTCCAGCCCAAGGATCCCTCAATATGATGTGATGGCTAAGGCTCAGACAAGCTGTGCATAATTTTAAAAGGGAATTTAGTGAGTTACAGAACTGGGTCTAAAAACCACGGACTATAACCTAGGTCCTAAGACACAGGGTCTCTGACTCAAAATTTAGCATTCTTTTCATCCTAGCAATGAGTTAATAAATGAATGTATTTACAGTATGGGATCTCAGCATTACTTTCCTGAGCCCCCCATCCAATTTTTTTTCTCACTCATCCCCCATTATAAGTATAGCCAGTTCAGAGAACATCCAAAATGGGAGGACTTTTTTGTATTTTGGATGGACAACAGACCTGAGAAAAAAATACTTTGTGCTATTGCTGCACACATGGCCCTTCCTAGCATGCTTTGTGTTTTAAGGTAAAGAAGAACTCCAAGGAACTCAATGCCCTTTGCACTAATTCAGGTCTTCTGCATAGGTGGCATGATTTGTAGGTCCTCCATGCTCCTAATGTGCTCTTTTCTTTATGGTCTTACTATGGGGTCCAAAGTGGCCACTGTTAATTACTACTTTAGATGAAGACAATGTCTTCAGAGGCGCCTATTAAAAACACACACAGTAAAGTACTTTAATTGATAGATGAGAAAATAAGAAAAAGTGTGTAGATAAACTTAATCACTATGTTGTGTGTAAGGAGAAGGGGTCCCTCCCTAAGAAAGTGCCCACAGGGCGATCCTGCTTCCAACCCAAGCTTTAGTCAGAAACCAAAAAGGAAAAGGAACTGAATCTTTCTAGATGCAAGATCTGTGGAAACAGGTCATGAGGACTAAGCTACTACATTATTCTGAAAAAAAGAAGTTACTGCCAAGTAGTGTGAGTACAAGTAAATCCATATCCCAGGCTGTCCTTAGAGTCTCTAGGCCCTCACAGGAAAGCTCACTGTGAGCGGCGGCAAGGATGGAGCACTTTATAAAGAAACCAGGGAATGTTTGAGTTGAAGAGGTCACCAAGATCATCTAGTCCAACTTCTGATGGTTAAATGGAAAACCATGGCTAAGAGAGGGAACACAGTTAGCAGATCTGGAGCACAGGCACAGAACTCCTGGTTCATGGAATATGGTCTTTTCTCTTGAACCTGGATTTATAAGACTATATGTAGCTTGGATAGATTATTCATTGGGGCTTAAGTATTTCTCTGGATCCTACTTTTGCTATATAGACTAATGACTGGAACTTGGGCACTGCAATCGTTGAAGGTGATCCCAAATATATCCTGAAAGCATTGCAGTAATTGCCTTTCCCATCTGCCATGCCATCAGGATTCATGACATAGAGCACTGTATAATGGGAATCAAGCACCTTCCTTACCGTGAATGGGGACTGCCAAAATATTGCAAAATAAAATGCTAGGAAGCAATTTGCTTCCTTATCATATCTTTCATGTCTCCTATAAAGTCTGACAAGGGTTTGGCACCATCTCTTCCTTCTTAAAATTAACTACTTTTCTCCCCTCTCCTTATAGCCAATGTGGGGGAGTAGAAAAAGCCAAATATTTGGAGCCAGAAAGACCTGCACGTGGATCTTTTTTCTACATTATTTCCTAGTTTTTTATCCTTAAGGACGTCTCTTTACTTCTATGTGCCTCAGCTCCCTCACCTATAAATAAGGATAATGAAAATATCATACTACAGGATTGTTGATTAAATGGGATAACAAATGTAAAGCACATACAAAGTTATTTAATACATATAAATTTCTTTATTTCCTTTTGTAAGGCTCTTGGATGCCAGAATGTGGCCTGTGGTCAGAGCTGTGCCAGTAGGGCCAGTTTCATAAGCATGGGAGTTATAAAGTTTCATAGGGCCCCATGCTTAGAAAGACCCCACATTTGGATTAATGTTTTGCTGTTGCCATTTTGAAATTCCTTATTTTTACAAGAAGCCCTCATTTTCATTTTGGACTGGACTTTGTCAATTATGCAGCTGTGCCAGGGGAGTAGCTGTGCCAGGGGAAATAAAAAGGGTATTTTGGGTTTAGGAGGTATTCTGAGAGTGAGAGAACACACAATTTGGAGTTAATAGAAATGGATTCAAATTCCAGTTATGCCACTAATTCTCTTTTTGTTATCAGACATTTTCTCTCATCCTTCAGAGGCTCAATTTCTCAATTTCAGGATTCCCTCAGTAGCTCTGAGGAACCTCCTTGGCCCATAGGCAGAGGTAGGGCAGCTAGGGGCTTTTTTTCTCTGACTCTCTGCAGCTCGGAGAGCCAGTATCTTTTGGAGGTTGCCTGGGAGTGGGTGGGGGCATGGTGGTGGGGATTGTTGCTGCACTAGCAGACCCTTTCACAACAGCACTGTTTTGTCATTTTGCACCCAGATTTCCGTTGGCTAACCTCAGCCTTATCTTCCTCATTTCTGTTTCCTCTTGAAGACACCAAGGGCCCTTCAAAACACATGATGTTCCTGCTCACAGCATAAAGCCCAGTTCCCTTTGGCCTCTGCAGGTTGGCTCATCACCAGAGAACCTGTGCCTCCTCTGAGACTAAAGCACCACTCCAGTAACAGGTATAGTATTCATTTTTCCTCTTTGTTTGGATTCCCAAGCTAGAAATGTGTTCATGGCTAGCAAAGATTGCTTAGACCTGCCCACCACATTCTCCTTGAACCTTTCTCAGGGATCTTGGGTTAAGGGTGGGGGAGAAGGTTACCATTGGCCTTTTATTCTGGAGCTTCTACTGTGAGAAGGGAGAATAATATTTCCTCCCCAAATATGCTATTTAGGAGATAAACACACGGAAGTGGAATGTTTTCTGGAATCAGGAGTCAATATATTTGAGTAACAGTCCTGGTTGTGCCATTTTCCCATTGTGTAGTTTTAAGCAAGTCCTTTCTACATTATATGACTCACTTTTTTGCTTATTCTGCAAAGAAGAGGAGGATGAGATGGATTTTGTCTGGAGACACTTTTAGTTTTTATATCCTGTATTTTGATGGCTGTAAGCCCTCTGTTGAGAAAGGTCATGAAAGTAATGCTGAGTAAATATCTCTGGGTGAGGCTGAACAGGGTGTTGAACTGTGTCTGAAAGAAATCCAGACTGCTCCTAGTATGAGAAGGCCCAGCTGAGTCAGTTTCATGGCAGGTCCTGCTGCTTGGTATGTTAGCCCTTCCAGAGTAGAGCAGTGGACAAATGATGACATTTTATAAAGCATGACGGATCATGAGAAGACCTTTGGAATTCCTCAATATTGCTTCATGTAAATCTCCACCTCTTCTCCCTATGAGTCTGGCCAGCCTTTCTCAACTGAACCTGCTTTTCTTGTATACACTCTATTGGAAAGGCATGTATTAGAACATCAAGAATGGAAATAATACTAATTTCAGCTCAGCCACCAACCCTTTCCATTAATATGGGGGCAATATGGTTTTTAAGGCTCTTCAACTTCTAGTGTACTAAGAAGGAATCTTTACCACCCTTATATCTTTTTTCATGAACTCAGATAAGATGTTCAGGAGGCTGTGGACACCCCCAGTTTTTCCAGGTCTTCTCACTGGGGCTGTAGCCAATGAGGGTGATGATAGATGAAATCACAAGTTGTGTCTTCTCTGCCACCCTGAATGCAAATTTTATTAATCAGCTTCCTTGGCTGGCCTCCACTCACAGGTCCAAGGACTGAGCCAAGGTACTAGTGGACTAATTTTTGGGAGGCTCTGGAAAGCTCATTGAACACTTTCCTCACAAGTCTACCAGGTAAGTCTTTTTATCCACATTTCCTGAGAAGAAATCTGAGGCCCAAAGAAAGACTTTCTCAATACCATAATTGTCTAGTTGGTGCCCAAAGCATCATTAGCATCCAAGATCGCCTGACTCTTTTCACTCTACCATACTCTTGACAATGATTTTTGTTTTGCTAAAAGAGCCACATTTCTGGATGGCTTGGGATGGATTGGGTAGGTAGAGAGAAAAATGAAGGAGTGAGAAATACATTTTAAATTTTGAGGTTTGAAGTCACTCCAAGATCATAAATTAGAGGAGCATATCACCCCCTTACCAACATACATTCAATTAAGAGTTAAGATAATAAAAAAAAACTTACTTTTTTCTCCCTGAAAGACAAGTCATCTGCCTTGGCCTCATGGGGCAGTTTTCTATTGTGCCATTTTTCATGTCAATATTCATTATAGGCCAACTACTTTCTAACAGATAAACTGCCACTTCTGGGAAGGGGGTGAATTTGACACAAACATCTTGGAATGTTTAACAACAGGATTTAGGTGTTGCCAAGGGAATTCTTTCAGAAATTCCAGGCCTAACAATGATCCTGGCAACTTCCTTGTTCCCCAGATGGCTGTGGGTTGAAAGAGTCCAAAGTCTCAATGCCAAGACTGCTGCCTGTCTTTTGGCTTCCTTGATGATGTGTCTCCCTTTTCCCAGAGAGATAAGTACAGCAAAAAGGTAAGAGAAGTGATGAGAAACGTTGGAAGGCACAATGGGTTAATATATGACACAACTCCAAACTGTGAGCAACTTATATGACCTTTAGCAACTTTATTCCTCAACATGAGCCTTCATTTCCTCATTTATAACATGAGTAGGTGAGACTAGATGCTATTTCTTTTATAGCTGCCATTCTTGAGTCCCGATGGTACACGGACACATTGTTAGGTAAGGCTGAGGTTATCAGAAATTTCTATTTCATTTGTCTTGACTCTGTTAAATCAATTGTCACTAGCCCTTGATTTCCTTCTGGCAGCACAACCACCATTGTCTTTGAGCATTTGTTGTGTATCAAATAATGAGCTAAGAACTTTATGTACATTATCTCATTTCATTCTCACTATAATTTATTAGGTTACTATATTTATACCTATTTTGGGGATGTGAAAAACTGGAGCAAAAAGAGATGAAATGATTTATCCAAAGTTTTCCAGCTAATTAATGGCAGAGCCAGGATTTAAGCCCATGTTCAACCTCAATTCTTAAGTTTATATACACAATACTATAAAACATTATCTGGGAGATTTAGGAAGGAAAGGGTCCTGGTCCCTTCTTGAGGTTAGGAAGGCAGGATGTTAATGAAATTGTTCTCCCTATGCTACATAGAGGATCCCACTAAAGCTTGGGACCCTTAAAATGTCATAGCTATAAGACTCAGGCCTGAGGAATCCCCAGCTGAGCACTGAGGTCTCACCTGCAGTCTCAACTAGGAGTTCCCTACCTACCCGCAGGGACCCTCTTTTGATTAGGAGCCTTATGCCTATTTTGCTCACTTCCTTTATTCTGGTGCTTTGGCTAGTCCATAGAGCCTGTGTAGTTTCCCTGGAGGCCACGGTGTGACTCTTTTCTCTCTCTTTCCCTCTAGGCCTACATCTCCCAAGAAGATCTCATCTCCCCACTGAAGCCCCTGGCTCGGCCTCCTGCAGTGCCACGCTCCGTGTATTTGACAAGCTGAGTTGGACACTCCATGTGGTAGAGTGTCAGTTTGTCAAATACCCCAAGTGCGGCATGTGCCTAGCAGCTCCAAGCCAGGGCAGTTGGGGTACAACAAATAGATGATCAGCAGGATAAAAGAACACACAACAAATACCAACTAAGCTCTCACAAGTTATTTTAGGTAACTTTGAGAGAATGTAAGCATTGTATCTGAGGTTACCAGTGGAAAAGTCAGACAGCTTTGAGAGCCACAGCCCTGGGTGGTGCCTACATATATTGTGAGAGCCTGAGGGGGGCAAGGTAGCCTTGAAAAGGTATCCAGGGCCCAGGGATGAAAATGCTACTTGATTCATTATATTTTTTCCTTCACATTCCCCATTCCAGAGTATCCCAGCAAGGACACCAGAAGTCTCACACAACCATCATGGCAGGGCTTAGAAGCCCATTTTTCTGACACTCAGTCTTAGCTCTAAACGCACTTTGACCTTACCTATCTCTCTCCTTTTCCTCATGCTTTTTCTCCTTCTGAGAACACCATCCCCATTTATTTCTGCCTATCCAATTTCTTCCCATATTTCCTTGTCCAGGCAAAATCAAGTTTCTGCAGGGACTTTTGAAAAATAAACCTATACTTTTTTCCTTCATTCTCAAATCACTTCTTGCCTGGGTCCTTCTATGTACACCTTTATCTCCTACTGCCCAATAACACTGCTTAAATTGTTAATTATCTTTTTCAGAATATATTTTGAATCCTCTACTTTGTTTATGACAAGACCATGTTTCCTTGATTGCTGTCTCTCCATTCCATTCCTACCCCACAGGACTCTGGTTACAGAAAATATTCAATAAAGTTTTACTGATTGATTGAGTTTCCACTAGTTCATTAGCTTTTGGCCTTTGGGACACATGCCACCTAGGCATTTTGTGAATAAAAAAATTCAAGTGTGCTCACCACAATACTGTAGGGCATGCAAGGTATAGCCAACATGAATGGGATTTCTTCCTGATAAATTGGGTGATGGGCTACAGGAGGAGATTTTTAAAAAGTAGGTTGAGAGGGCAAATATGTTTTGGGAATTACTTGGTAACACAAAGTTATATAGGTAATTTATTTCAGGATATTATAGAGCCTTTAATATTCTAATATTGCACTGGAAATTTCCAAGAGGGAGCTATAGAATGAAGCATTTCCCATACCTATCTGATTGTGATTTTTTTTTTCCTGTGAACCATCTCCTGGGTCTACTATTCCATGGAACAAAACTTGGGAAGCTTCCCTAGAGGAAATTCATACTTTCCCTCTCTTCTGGAGGTCTCCTTTTTTTTTACTCATCTGCTTCCCCCTGACCAGCCACCTACCTAAGATAGAGCCTACGTTATCATTACATTTTTGTTTAGCCTTATCTTGCAGCTTTGGGGTAACCCTATACCAAGGACTCTTTTACTGGCTTGTCATGTGTGGGGGGAAAATATTCAGTTTGGGAACACAAATGATCTCCAGAAGTTTCTCTGCTGCAATGAATATATTCTCCTAGCAGTTCACAGACATGAATCTGGTCTCTGTTCTACCATTGATTTGATGTGTTTGACTTCAGATAAGTCACTCTTTCTTTTTGGACTTCATTTCCTTATCTGTATTATGGGAAACTTAGAATCAACAATCTCTAAGCTCTCCAAGACAAGAGACTCTGAGTTATCCTTGGGGGTCCATGTAGGGGGTAGTTCCTGGATCTGGGGCTCCTTTTATCAAGACACATGAAACAAGGATTCTCTTCTCAACCTCAGTAATTCCTTTCTCTAAAGATAGTAGGAATAAATGATGGCTGTTTTCAAAGGCTGTGGGGGTCTGGAAACAAAGATGTTTAATTATGGAAGCTGAGGTTTCCACTGTGGGAGGCTGTTTCAGAGGATTGTAAGCATGATGGGGAAGAAAATGTTGTTCCTTTCATGAGCATCTGGAGATGAGGAAAACGCTGAGTTTTTTACCATGGACTTGGCAGGTTAGTGGTGGTGAAGTGGAGGACTTCTTGTTCACTTTTGTGTACTATTTTGACTTCTATATTCATCCCAAAAGAGAAGAACTCCTGTTGAAACCTGAGCTGATGTTGAGGTTGTGTTGGAAATAAAAGTGGCAACATGTCAGGTTCCATGAAGAATGGATAAGTTGATTTAACATGAATTACATGAGGGAGGGAAAGCAGTATTGACTTGTCCCAGAGCAGGTCCTCATAGAGGAAACTAATTTTTAAAAAATTTAACTTTATTGTTGAAAGTTTTACAGATGTCCCCTCTTTTCCCCCTTTTGGACCCTTCCACCCCATTCCAGCCCCTCCCAGGCCTTCACCCCACTATTGTCTGTTTCCATTGGTTATGCATATATGCATATAAGTTCTTTCGTTGAGCTCCACCCCCCTTTTCCTCTGAGGATCCTCAGACTATTGCATGCTTCCATGTCTCTGAATCTATTTTGTTCTTCAATTTATTTTGTTCATTAAATTCCACATATAAGTGAGAACGTGTGATATTGTCTTCTCTGATTGGCTTATAATACTCTCCAGATCCCCCCATGCTGTTCAGAGGAGACTGATTTAAAGGTATTCATGTGTGCACAAGCGCGCGTGCACACACACACACACACACACACACACGCACACACACATTCTTATTCTCCACTCCTATTTGAGGAGAAATACTTCTTTGCTCTGAGCCCCACTCCACATTGTAAGAAGGGACCAGGAGCTAGGGATGAAGAACACAACTATTCCAAAATTTTTAGGATTACAGGAGGTAGGAAACCTTGAGGGCGGTGCATCCATACTTTGGAAAGAAGGACAACCCTTTATCTCTACATCCATAGAATAAGGCTCCTTTTGAAACATCTTGGCAGAACATGTTACTTGTTAGATCAAGGAGAAAGGGAAGGGTGAATTAAGAAGTGCTTTGAGAACACTGTCTGTGAGGAGGCAGCACAAAACCAAAAGTGAGGGCTAGCCTGCTCTCCAAATGAGAAATGAAGAGATGGAGAGGGGCTAGCCTGAGAAGACGGGCAAGACTATGCAACATGGCGAAAAGCTTGGAGACTGTGGAGAATGGTGGTCAATGGGATTTACCAATAGTAAATTGGCTGAGTGATTAAAAAGCAGGAGTATCTAATATTCTCTTTTAATTAACTAGGTTACTCAAATGGGACCAACATATAATACCTCCCTCAATCTATCTACACTTTCCATGTACCATTAAAAAAAAAGTCTGCTGTATGCCATAAAAAGGGGGACTCATTTTTTTTCAGGTTTTTAATTGACCTAGGAAGAGTCATCCAGGTGGAGCTGGCAGGACAATTGGGAAAGGGATAATGGAAGGCAGATGAGTACTATTTTACCAAAGAATCATTGTGTTCTAGCTGGACCCACCTCTGAAGTGAGGTAAGGGTGGCATGGGTAGGAAGGAGGAAAACAAAAACCAAAGGTGCTATTTATGCTCCCAGAGCCCTAATCTTCTCAACTGGACTCACTTTAATCACTTTCAGTAGGTCCTTGAGAGAAGACCAATACAACTAAGGTTGCTATTATGATTAGATATTTATTAATCACCAAAAGAATATCAGAGTAATAGATTCACAGCATAAGAGCAGAACTGAACCCTGGCCTGTTATATGACAATCTCAATTAAAAACATTCTGGCCTTGGAAAAAAATAAGTGATTATGGACATAACTGATCCCTGAGCTGGCAGAGCTGAGCCTCCCTCTGGTCTTACAGTGACAAGAGGCCAAAGTTAATTAGTGTCTTAGTGCTATGGGAACTTCCCTCTGGTGCTTGGAGAGAAGCAGCAAAAGCCCCAGGCAGAGATACTGGAAGGGCACAGAGCCCAACCCAGAAACAGGATTGCATGTGTGCACATGGCAACTTCTTAGGGCTTAGGCAAAGCCAGTCATACTTAGGAATCTGAATGTTGGCAGGTACGACATGTTGTACTATCCAGGAAGATAAGGGGACCATGCAGAAGGCAGGGGCTAAAAGATAATAATGTCAGCAAACTAGTAGGGCAGTTTTAGCAGACACTCTTGCCCTCGATGGTCAGGAGCTCATAATCCGGGGAACTGTGGACAGCAGCTGAGTGTAGTCATCATCTATCTGGGCGATGATCTGGTATTCCTGGTCCAGGCAGGGTTCATCAGAGTAGTCATTGCCTAGAGTCCGGGTAGCTGGCTCTTCACTGGAGCAGCCACTTTCGCAGATGGCCAACCTCATGGTTTCACCAGAGTTGCTGGTCTCCCTGGCATGCACCCTGTGGCCCAAGAGCCCACCACCCATAAGAAAGGACATAAGGCTGGGACCCTGGTTTCCAACCCTTCTTCCCTAATCCTTGTCATCCAGAGATTCTGGGAACAGGTGCTGGTGGACCTGAATTATCCTGTGTGTTTGGTGGGTCACAACAGGGCATCAGGAGGTGCTTCAGAAAGGGAAAACTCTGTGCCCTGACCCTGAAGACTTTTGGGCTTAGGGTTGTGTCTGTGACAAACCCCCTTTCTGTTATACCACTGACCCACATAATTGAGGGAAAGGAAAGAGTTATAAGATAGAAGAGGAGAGGCTATCTTACCTGGCCTCTTCATAGACATGCTCTAGAAAAGAAGGATAAATCAGGTCAGAATTCTCCAGGGGATGTAAACAAGGGCCAAGTATGGACCTTGAGTATCAGTCAAAAGGTGAAGGAAGAGGAGACATAGAGGAGGATCTCAATAAGTTCAACTTTCCAATGACTGGGAGGTATGGGCAAGGTGAGTTGTAACACAGGGATGTATGTCTTGGCCACCATGATAATGCTGCAATGAATATAAGGGTGCATATATCTTTGTGAATACATGATTTTGAGGTTTTGGGGTATATACCCAGGAGAGGGATTGCTGGGTCGTATGGTAGCTCTATTCTCAATTTTTTGAGGCATCACCAGATTGCTTTCCATAGTGGTTGTACCAGTCTAATTCCCACCAGCAGTGGATAAGGGTTTCCTTTTAGCCACAATCTCTCCAATATTTGTTATTGCTTGTCTGGTTGATAATGGCCACTCTAGCAGGTGTGAGGTGGTATCTCATTGTAGTTTTGATTTGCATTTCCTTAATTGCCAGTGAGGTTGAACATCTTTTCATATATCTATTGGCTGTTCATATGGAAACAACCAGGGTCCTACAATAGAGGAGTGGATAAAGAAGATGTGGTACATATATACAATGGAATACTACTCAGCCATAAGGATGAAATAGTGCCATTTGCAGCAACATGGATGGACCTCGAGAACATTATGCTAAGCAAAATAAGTCATTCATAAAAAGCTAAGAACCATATTATTTCACTCATATGTGGAATATAAAACTTAAACTCATGAACACAAACAGCAGTGTGGTGGCTGCCAGAGAGAAGGGAGTCCTAATATATGGTGACAGGAGAATATTTGACTTTGAATGGTGGGCACACGGTGTGAATGCAGATCTTGTAACAAAGAAACCCACACCTTAAACCTATGTATTAATATTGACCAATGTAATCTTAATAAATTTAATTTAAAAAAAGAAACACAGGAATGTAGAATTCTTAGGGAAAGGAAGAGGAAGCACAGTTGGTAACTGTCCTCTTTGGCATACTCTGACTCAGGACATTAGGCTGGAGCAGTTATTTAGTGTGATGGAGAGAGGGACACTGGAATTGAATCCACTTCCCACTCAGGAATCTTGTTGGAGATCCCTAGGGAGTCCTTGTGGGAAACTTGGCAGCCTGACCAGAGCCTAGACAAAAGGGGCTGAATTAGTCTGTTGTCAAGAACCATGGCTTAAGCCATTCCCAAAGGCACTCACCCTTACCCTGCACCCAGG